TTAGTGCACAGAAAAGGTATTGATTTGTGCAATTTGATTCTGTATCCTGCCACATTGCTGTATTTGTTTATCCTCCCTGAGCCTTTCAGGGCTCACAGGCAGGAAGCTGCAGCATTAAGATCCACAGGAAGGCTTCACCCCTCTGGGAACCTGCTGGGTATCTACCTGAAATGAGAGATCAGCTCTGGCTTGCTGGCCCCAAGAGATTATGGTTTCTTCAAGCGTTGTTGACCTGAGCCCAGAAGGCCTGTGACTGAGCTGAATGTCCATGCTTCTAGTATGATTTAACAGCTGTCACACATGCTCATCTGTCAAAGTTAGAAGTTATTGTCACTGTACATTATTCATGTGATGGACCGTAGCCCCTGAAATGTGAGCCCATATGACTTCTTCAACCTTTAGTTCTTTTTTTTTCAGGTATTTTGTCACAGTGATGAAAAAAGAGTGAATTTTATTCAACTTGATCTATACAGAACACTTACAGTTCTTGAATGATGAAAGTTCATTATTGTAAACTTAATTCACTGGTGATTTTTATTGCAAGTACTGTATCAGATGTGGTTTGTTGTTGCTGTTTCTTGCTTATTTTTCAGCAGATTCAAACACTTCCTGGTACCTGGTATATAGCTATTAATCTGGCAAATACTTGCCTGCTCCACCTATGTCTGTATGTCCTACATGAAGCAATCTGTTTTCACCTGGAAAGGCCAATAATATACCTTTATTGTCCCACCTCAGGGGTATTTTAGCTCTCCAGCCCTGTGCCATAAGTTAGTTCTGAGGGGTATCAATCACATATCTCTTTCATATGGTTTCACACTGGTTTGTTACATTGATGATATTATGCTGTTGAATCAACAAGTCTGGATTTGTTGATTAAATGTTTATGTCTCAGACAATAGGAAATAAGCCCAACAACAACAATAATAATTAAAAAACAGTGGCCTTCTACATCAGTAAAATTCCTAGGTGTCAGTAATACAAGATATGTAGCAGTATCTTTAAAACTTTTTAAATTAAAACTTTAAAATTTTATGTGTATATACATTTGTATTCCTTCATATAAACCTTTTCATGGTCAGGTGCACCACAGCAAATACTCTACTTTCTGACATCAATTTCTGTACTTGCTTGCTTTTCTACTGCTTTGAAAACAGTGATCAAAGACAACTTGGGGAAGAGATGGTTTATTTGGCTTACTATTCCACGTCATAATCCATCACTGACGGAAGTCAGAGGAGGAACTCAAGCAGGAACTGGAAGTGGGAAGTGAAGCAGAGACTATGAAGGATGTCTGCTTACTGACTTGCTATCCAGAGGTTGCCCAGTTTGCTTTTATTCACAACCCAGGACCACATGGCCAAGGATGACACAACTCACAGTAGGCAGGACCACAATCTCTACAACAATCTCTAATCAAGAAAATGCCCTGCAAATGTGTCCATAAGCAATTCCAATGGAGGCAATTCTTCATTTGAAGTTCCCTCTTCCCAAGTGAGTATAGTGTGTCAGCTGACACATACTAACTAGCACAGCTAGCAAGTCACCATCTGAGATTTTCATCATGATATGAGTTTTATCTGATGCACCAAACAATAAGTGGGAAATGCACAGAAGCAACCCATCATCAAATGGGGGTGGTGTATATGATCAGGACTTAGCAGGACCGAAAGGCACAAACCAGTTACATGAAGGAATGATGCTTGGTGAAGGTGGAGGAAGAAGTCTTAAAATCTGGACTCAATAGTGATGACTCTCCAGAGACCTCTCAGGCTTTTGATGCCGAGTTGGGACTGCTGAGATATCTAGCTTTTTGGACTGAATAGAGTCCTTTGCTTCCTGATCTTGAGCATTCATGATAATTGTTGAACTACCCTGACTCTAACATGTAAGCCAATCTAATAGTCCTTTCAATGATACAGCAGGGTTCTCTGCTTCTCTAGAGAACCCTGCTTAATACAATATATTTCACTGATATTGTAAGTTTTTTAAACGTTAATTAACTAATGCTGATACATTATTATTAACTAAGGCTCTATTTTGTTGGAATTTTCTTAAGTTATATATTATATCACCTTTCTGTTCTGGATCTCATTTAGGGTACCATAGTGTATTTAGCTGCCATGTTTTAGTTTCTTCTTGGTGGTGACAGTTTTTCTGGCTTCTTTTGTTTTTGATAAGCTTAACAGTTTAGGTAGTATTGGCAGGCATTCTAAGAAATGCTTATCTGTTAGAATTAGGCTGCTGTTTTTCTCATGGGGTTTTGAGCAACTTGGAGAACGACCACAGAGGTGAAGTGTCATTGCTGTGATCTCAAGTCAAGGGTACATACTATCAGGGTGATTTATCACTGCTAATGTTGACCTTGGCCATTTGTCTGGGGTAGTGTTTACCAGGTTTCTCCATGATAAATCTACTGGTTTTCCCCCTCGCTTCCCTATTGACTGTTTGACAGAAATCTGTGAGAGTTCATATTTGAGGAATGAAGATTTATGTACCTCCTTCTCAAAGGAGGAGGACTTATATAAGTTATTTGAAACCTTCCTACCTGGAAGATTTTTTTATTATTCTTTTATTAGTTCAAATTAGGAGCAAGCTTGTTTCACATGTCAATCCCTTCTCCATCTCCCTCCTCTCCCCCAACATCACACCTGCCCCTAGCTATCCCCCCTTCCACTCCCCAGGCAGGGTAAGGCCCTCAAAAGGGTCTCCCCAAAGTCTACCACATCATCCTGGGCCAGGCGTAGGCCCTTCCCTATGTGTCCTGGAAGATTTTTAAACTTCATTTATTTACTCACTAATTTACATCAATTTATAATTGTGGATGTTTATTTTATCCTTTGAGCTATAATACAATGATTTTATATTTTTTTTTTGTTCAAGTTGTTTCAACTATGGCTACTGGAAGCTTTTAGTTGGTTTCTGTTTTCCTTTGGCATAGAGCAGTCAATGGAAGTCTTTGTCTACTTATTTTAAGCTCTATTTTGTTGCATTTACTCTCCAGTTTCTATTCTGCCCCAAGTTGTCATTTCTAAACCCGACGTAGTAACAAAGGGAGTAGGTGTTAAATGTGAGAGATTTTTAAATTCCCAGAGATCATGAAATATAAATAGTATGTGTTTGTATGTAAAATCTGTCCTAATGAAACCAAAAGTTAGCAAATGGTATTAAAAATACCTATGTAGAATGATCCCCACTTTCCCACTATATGTACAGGATAAAGTTGGATGGAAGTCGTGGCCATTGTGATAGGTGAAATATTTTCTCTCTTTAAATTTGCTCTTGCCCGTGCTCTCAACAAAATATGTGAAACTTGTCTATCATTAACTTTCAGCAATGTCTATTACTTCTACTTAGGACAAATACTTTTTTCATAATATAAATAAATGAGATTTTATGCTTAAAATACAGGTAGTGGGGGCTGGAGAAATCGCTCAGTGATTAAGAGCTCTTTGCTGTTTTTAAAGAGAACCCAGGATCTTCCCCAACACCCACATGGGGGCTTATAACAGCTTGTAACTCAGTTCCAGGGTTTCTGACATGCTCTTCTGGTCTGCATGGACACCAGGCACATATGTCACACACACACACACACACACACACACACACACACACACACACACAGAGAGAGAGCGAGAGAGAG